GTTTACAGAGATCATACAGGAGTTATTGAATATATAGAATTTTTTAAACAAATAGTAAAATTTATTAATTACAATATTTTAGATAATTTTTAACTTGTTATTTTAGATGTCATCATTTTGACATATAATCAAATAAAAGTATTCCAACATTGAAATTGAAAAGTATTAAAACATTGATTTTTATTTAACTTGAAGTGCTAATTAATGATCGGTTTGATTAAAGACTCTGCGATAGAAAAATTTTGATATTTTTTGTTTTGCTCTTGTTGTTTCTCTGCGAATTTGTTTTGTTTATTACTAAACATAGCTTTGCGTTAACTAATAAACGTACAAACTTTCCCTAACTTACAAACAATCACTGCTTTGCATTAACTAATAAACAATTCTTGTACTGTTTTAATTATTTGATGACAAAGATATGTACGAATTCAAATCAACAATATAAACAATTTCCACTAACAAAACACTATTTGATTTTTACTTAGAAAAAATTAACATTTTTTTTTTAATTTATGTTTACTTTATTTTATATTTTTCTCTTTGCTTATCATTTTGCACTAGCATATTGTATATGTTTTGAGCCCCAGATTAATAATTAATCCTTAAATAACCAGAGAAATTTTTTAAAAATTAAAATTTTAGATGCTAAAAGTAATTTTATTTAAGAGCTACAGCACTATCAAACAAATTAAATTTCAAGGATCAATAAAATCTTTACAATTTACAAAATACTACCTTTAACAAACCAAGAATCATAACTTCGTGAGCTTTATGGTTAGTTGAGGATTTAATTTCAGCATAGAGAAGATCAGCATACTTGACTCTAAAAAAAAAAAATTGAAAAAATCTTTTTTTCCATCATTTAAAGGGATCCCAAACTCCCAACACATGTTGTGTTCATATTAAAAATAATGTTAAAAAAAAAGGTTTAAACTAAATTTTTTTGATTAAAAATAAATAATGAATGCATACCATGAAAAACAAATGTTGTTGTTTTTGCCGAAGCTCGTCTTCTCCATTTTTTTCAACTACTCGGAGTCTTTTAATTATGCGTCGCAATCTACAGACATTGGCAATTCCTTTGAAGCGTGTTTAATTCATAAACGTTTTAGTATTTGACGTCAAGGTAGACTTTTAACAAAAGCAAAGTGTAATTAAACTAAGCTGCGTTTTTCTACTGTAGTATTTTTTAACATACAGCAAAACAAATTTATTTGTATTATTTTTCTAAACATCGCAAAAAAAAATTTGTAAAAAGAAAAAATGATAAATTGTTTTTATTTTATAGGAGCAACTTGTTTTTTACAGATATCTTAATAATTTTTCGATTTATATATTTATATATAGAGCGCAGTATTATATATTCTAAATCTTACATTAAACAATCAAAACTATTTTCTAACTTCTCTGGTCATTTTTATGCTATGAAGTTTTTTGTTTTTCCGTCGAAAAAAAGTAATTACAAGCAATTGCTTTCATTTAATTAGAGATATTTGATATACTGTTAAATTTTTTTATTATAAAAATTTTTTGATTACACTGATTAAGTTTAAATTGCTGAGCTTGCTAAATTGGATATGGATAAAAAAAAATCATTTCATTTTGCATTTGATTTTTAATAACGAAACTTTTGAAATGTCGGCAACTCCATACCAATTAGAACCTGTTAAGGTTATGAAAAAAAAGAACAAGAACACACCAAACAATACAGTTGTCAGTAGTATCAGATATGAAAGTTTTAATGTTGTTATAGCTAATGCGTCAAAAATATATAACAGCAATAACAGCACAAGCCGGCATTATGAATTTTAAATAACAAGTTTACTGTTCAATACTTTACAACCATCAAATTGAAAACATGAAGTACGTATATTTTTGCCCGCTTTATACAATTAACATTTAACAAAAATACAGACAAATTATTATTAATTAACGCAATAATGACCACATTATTTAATGGCATCAACTCAAGACGGATAGTAATTTAAATTGTTAAAATATTGCAACGCACGTTAAAAAACATTATATTTAGTATTTCCCAATTTATGTGCTGTAATTTGTGAAAACACCTAATGAAAATTTTACTAAACAATAGACAATGTGACGTCTGACTTTCTCGCGCAAAATTCGGGTAGTTCTGAATGTCACACAATAAAATTTTGTTTTTACTCTAACATATTTTACATACTATAGGAACAAATACGTTCCTAGGGCTTCTTCTGATCTTAGAATAAATTAACACAATATCGCATAATTTTAGGGGCTTTTTATTTATTGCTAAGTCGTTCTAAATAATAAGTAAATATAGTTAAAGTTAATATTTTAATAATTACAGTTGCAATATAACAAAAAAAAGATGCTTAATGTTGAACTTTTTATTTAGTTATTTATTTTTTACCTACTTTTGTCATAAAAAGACTTAAGTACCCCCGTCATTTAAATAACTTGTTTTAAATATATTTCGACGTGATTATTCAAATAAATTTTTTTCGTTTGACTTCCCCAAGCAAATTGAGACAAAATATCGTCTAACCAAATAAAAATATTGTTACTATTTTTATACGGGTAATTAATGTAAAACATTTTTTTATCAGAGTCTTGATTGAGATAATAAATATTCATAATTTATAAACATTAAATATATGGCGCAATAACAATTTATAGCAACGAACCAGCATAAAATACTTAAGGCTTTTAATATCTTTTTAAATATTAAAAGTAGCAAAAAAAAAAAACTAAACAAATAACCAAAAAAACTTCAACTAAAAATGAATAAAAATATTTCCAGAGTTTCTTTTGTTAAAAGTCTACCGTGACGTCAAATACTAAAACTTTTATGAATTTAACACGCTTCAAAGGAATTGCCAAAGTCTGTAGATTGCGACGCATAATTTGAAGAGTAGTTGAAAAAAATGGAGAAGATGAGCTTCGGCAAAAACAACAACATTTGTTTTTCACGGTATGCATTCATTATATATTTTTAATCAAAAAAATTTGGTTCAATCCTTTTTTTTTAACATTATCTTTAATATGAACATAACATGTGTTGGGAGTTTGGGATCTCTTTAAGTATGCTTGATATTACAAATACTTGTTCAAAAACATTTAAAATTTAAAAATTATGTTCAAATTAAAATGTTATATTTTTATTTCTTACACTTCTGTGGCACCATTTTCAACCTATTGAAAAAAAAAAATGAACAAAATGATATAAAATATGTTTAAAAACAAAAAGCTTTTCTTTGCTTACATTCAAAAAAAAACAAAAGAAAAACACAACATTTAATTTTTTTTAACTTTTTTAATACCTTTGATCCAGGTACATCATGAAAACAAACAAATTCTAACATTTGATTGTGCACATCTGTTGACAACTTCTCTTAGAACAAAATAAAAATAAATTATAAAATAACAAACACAAAATACTAAAAATCAAAAAAAACTTTAACAAAATTTAAAAATAGATATTTTTTTTGTTTGTCAATCTTTTTATTTAAATGTAACTTAAATGTAACTTGATTTAAATGTATTATTTACTAAGAATTACAGGGTGGCCACATTAAATTTTTATAAGAAAAAGAGGATATTAGAGGATTTTAGAGGAGATTTTGCATTTAATTTAGAGGATTTTTTTCGCAAAACTACAAAATTTTGAATAAAAATAGAGGATTTAAGAGGATTTTTAAGGTTTAACGCCTATGTTTCCACATAACTGGGGTTTGGACAGGGGTCAACAATGTCATTTTTTGTTAGATGACATGGATTTGTTAAAGTTGATTTTTTACAACTCAATTCTCATTTCAGACATTAGGCATTTTGCAGACCATGAATTTTAAACATTATACTACCATCAAGTAATAAAAAAATAATAAAAAAAGAGGAGTTAAAGAGGAGATTTTATGATATTTTTAACTTTTTAGAGGATAATAGGATTTTAGAGGATGTTTTTGAAAAAAGAGGATTTTGGAGGAGCTGTGGCCACCCTGAATTATCATAACAATAAAATACCCAAATAAAAAGTTTTATTTCTTTTTATGACACGCAAATAAAAATGTTTTCATAACTTTTTAAAAAAGTATTCTAAAAAAAAGTTGGGAGATTAGGTTACACCACTACATTATATATTAACAATAATTTTCAACCAATTACCTGATAACTTTATCTTTTCATAAAGTTTAACAACTTTCTCTACATTACTGCTGTTTTGTAGCAACCCTAAATTGAAGTAAAATATAAGAATGTATATATTAAAAAATATATATATTCTCAAAATTCATATTTCAATATAAGCATTACTTACAAACTAGGTTTTCAACAGTTTCTTCTACATCTTCACTGCTAATAGATTTCTTTGGCCAAGGCTTAATAGGGAAACATATTTCCTTTTTTAATTTTTTAATTTATTTATAAAAGTTAAAATTAAAATATATAATTGTATAATATTTTTGATTTAACTATTAAAATTATAATTTAAAAAGTAGTAGCATAAGTTATAATTTATCTTAATATTATTAATAACATTTGCCTTCATATTAATAATAATAGTGTTATTTAGTTAATATAATATGTTAATTACCGGTACAGGTTCTCTTAGCGGAAACAAATGGGGATATTTTTCTAGAACAAAATCAGCTGCCTTTTCTCCTGACTCTAGCGCCAATAAGATTTCATTCTAAAACACAAATTTTTGTAGAATGAACATTTTAAGTAAGATTTTTAATGTATAACAGCAATGGCCTTATTTTTCTATCTTACTAAATCGAAAAGAAAATAAACGAAAGTAACATGTACTTAACCAATAATTAACCAAACGTTTAGTCAATTTTTGATAACTTTCTTTGTAAATATGATAACACTGGTAAAATATTTATCCAAAAATTTACCGTGAAATTTACCTGTTTAACCATAAAATTTACCTGTTTAATATTGGACCGCGGATTTAAAATAACATCATCCCACATGCGATAATGAGGTCTATTTGGAATCTAAACAAAGTTTTTTTAAATAAATACACACACAAATTTAGAAGAAAAACAAATTACAGCCACCACTATTATTATTATTATAATTTACTTAAATTTAACTTTTAACTATTTTAACTTGAAATAAAAAAAATCATTCACAACAATATGAAATCAAAAAACAAAAAACATTCTTTAGAAACCTGTTTAACAGTTGACGAAAGAACTTTCAAGACTGTTAACTTATCTCTACAATAAAAATACAACAGAAAAAATTATTATTTTCATAAAAGAAAAATTTTCATAAAAAACATAAGGGCTTCATTTGAAAAACAAATAATATATTTAATATAAATTTTTACTTAATTAAAATAATCTATTTTTTCTTGGAAAAATTGATTATTGATAGTTTGAAAAATTACCTAACATGTTATATGAGTTTGGGAATAGTCTCAAAATATTGCACACATATAGACATGGAATTACCAATTAGGTGAAAAAAATTTACTCAAAAAATTTTTGTACAAGGTCTTAGGTATATGAATGGACATAATTTTCAAAACTTTTGAAAAATATTTTGCAACGCATGAGAAAGTTATAGTCATTTTAGTGTTTCTATCAAAGTCCTTGAAAAAATTATATTTTTTAGCTGCTTCATTTTTCAAAAAATGTTTTGGATTATTTAAAATTTTTATCTTTTTTTTTAAATTCTCCAATCAGACTCATATACAAAGAACAATACAATCCCATCTTAAACATTAGTTATTAGAGATAATTTTAAAATAAAAAACTACCAAAAAACTTCATTGTAAATTTATTTTTTATATTTTTACATTAGATTATTTATTCATATCAAATTATTAAAGCTATTCTTTATATTAATAAACTATAGAACAGAACATAACATTTTTTAATAAAAACATCTATATTCTTTACATCAAAATTTGGAAATTTGTAATTATCTTTTTTACAGGGTTCTTTAACTTCGAAGTTACAAATTTTGACTCGTTTTTCACTATCGGCTTAGAGATGTCTTGAGCAATACCCAATTACACAATTCTTTAGTTTTTTACTGTATTCTGAATGACCCCAATTTCACTTGAAAGCACCTGTTTCCCATAGCCTGCTGAAATCTAAATGAACTGATTTGGATGCTTGCTCACTCCAAATCGCAAGACCTCTTAAAAAATCTTTTCATAGAGTTGGAGGAAGTTTTTGCTGGGTAATAGCATTCTTTTCAGTCTGATTGTCAATAAACTCAGGTATGTGCTTGATGACAGCATGAACTTTAGGTGTAATTGAAATTCCATGGGCTTTGTATGCTCTCTTAAAAGAAAGTATAGAATCTCTATAAGAGGAAATCAGGACATTACCAAAGCATGTCTGTCTGACTGCATCAAATGTTTTAAATGCAGAAAGAAGTTTTTCTCCTTTATTTTCAACTTTGACATTTGCAAGCAACTCATCTGGGACAGGACAACATTGTTTAGGAGCTGCCTACATTGGTTTCCATTGAATTCTCCTCCATGGATTGGTGGCCTGTAGATGCTTAGTTTGTTTGAACAGTCAGTAGCTTTCAAAGAACAAGACTTGGTTTTGCTAAGGATTGTTATCAAATGATCAAATAGCCTGTTGGTAATTCCTAAAACCATATGCAATTCTATGATTGGCAAAACATCAAAAAATTTTGTTTCATCTGGAGGATCAAGTAGAGGGAGGTTCATGCAACTTTTGTAGCTTGCTGCTGAGAGCTTTGATTTTTTAAATGAACACTGAGATCTTTCAAATAATTATTGGCATTGGATCTATCCTCCCAAGTGTCCTTATTTTCCCTGTTATTTATTGGTTTCCAAAATCTTTCTTTGAAGTTTCACACCAAGGGCAGGGATATGTGGATGCAAAAAGGAGTTGATCTTGTCAAAGTCGTAACTTTGGAAAAATCAAAAGGGCTAGGTAGATTATTATTTATTTTCTCCCCTTTTTCAATCTTAAGATGAATTAGTCTACACCTAGCACATATAGCAGAAGGTAAATGCTCTTTGTTGGGATCATAGTTCTCAATGAAATACTTCTAAATTCTTGGAAGTATCGAGTCTCTTTTAACTGGCACCATATCTGTTCCTTTTTAAAAATAAAGAAGACATAATTTACCACAATTTTCAGTGTGTGATAAAGTCTTGTTAGGCATTGTGACAATAGATTTGGACAACAAATATTCATGCGCTACTGCAAGTCTGGATTTTCACAGAACTGACAAATGCAAAATTATGATCGTTAAAAAACACAAAAATTGACTTTTATTTTCATAAAACCTTAAATTTTTATTAGTATTGCTTTTACTAAAATTAATATTGTAATAGTATTTGACTGGAAGCCAAGAAAACTATTTTACATTAAAGTTCTATCAATTTGGAACTTTTGTTTTGAAAATAAAGGAAATAAATATTTTGTACATAAGTTCGTAGTTGTTATTTTTTTAACATAATATCTCATAATATTATTGTTTGAATAATTAAAATAGCATAAGTTACTGTTCTAATTTACAGCTTAATAGGATCCCAAACTGTCGAGACATGTTGTGTTCATATTAAAGAGAGTGATAAAAACAGACATTAATTTATTCAAGCCCATTTTATTCCTGAGTTTTAGTACATGACATCACTGATTTTTTGTTTAAGAGATCAATTATGTAAATAAACAAAAAAATCTATGACACCATGTACTAAAACTCATAGGAATAAAATGCACTTGAATAAATTATAGAGTCTGTAAATTGCTGCATATATTATGAAGACTATTTGGCCTACAACGAAACAGAGATGGCGAGCTTAGACTAAAACAAAAAAGTTAGTTTTTCTTGGTATGCATTTATTCTTTTGTTTTGATCAAAAAAATTTAGTTTGTTTTTTTTTTATCATTCTCTTTAATATGAACACAACATGTCTTGGCAGATCCCTTCAAGTTATAACTTAAAGTTTAAGTTGCAGTTATAGTGTTATGAGCAAGTAACTTATTTAATACTATTACAATATTCCTTTTAGTAATTGTTTTTACTTAACATGATCCTTAAAAAAGTAAAAGTAAAAACGCAAATATTACAATATTTCAAACACTTTAATTAGTTATAGAAAACTAATTAAAAAAACGTGTTTTATTGAAGTAAATAAATAGAACTGTTCTAATTAATAAATAAAAACATTAATGCCATAAAACTTGAACATGAACTTCATTTTTGCGCAAAATCATGCTATATCTATGGACCAAGCATTAAAAACAATCAATTTAAATAAGTTTTTTTTTTACTTATGGCTTATAAAAATTTAAGATTTATAAAAATTTAATACTATTAAGCATTTTTTCTTTTACATTTATAACTTAAAAATGAAAATAAAAATAAATGAGAACAATATATGTAAATAATTGTTTAAACCTTTTAAAACTGTATTTAAAAGCAATGTATACAATTAAAATAGATCAAAGTAACAAAATCATTCATTGAAACTTTAATTGCAAACGATTGTCTTTTGTTCTTGTTTTCTCTCTACTATGTCACACAAAGAAGAGAATCGATTTAAATATGAAAACTTAAGAAGAATGAACAGAATGAAAAAAGTTGAATAATTATAATTGAACATTCATAAAATATCAAAATATTCCTGCTATGAATATAACCAACTAAATAAAAAAATCATTTCAATATTTATGTATCTAAAAAATGTCAAATTTTTCTACTTATGAAGAACCTTAATTTGCTCATATAAATTGATTGCGATCATTAACAATGTTGGGTTTCATTTTCTTCTCACCATTTATGTTTATCACTTTAACCATCTTTAACAAATGTATGTTGCTGATAATTAGCAATTTTCTCTTTAATATTAGCATTTAGCAACCACTACACCATGCCTACCTCTAGTAATGACTTCTCCTTATTTTAGTTTAGTTTTTGTACATGGCTATGGTTTTGAATTACAGTCACTTCTTAACATACCACATATGCATGTTTTTAATTTAACGTGTGCTTTCATAGTTCAAACGAATTGTAGTAGTTAATGGTATACATGTGATAATCTTTTCACAGAAAGGGAAAAGATTGTCATACAATCAAATCCAATCGCATATACAAAGTAGTATATGTGAAAAATGAATTTGACTCTTCATTACTATTATCACTATTACTTATCATTACTAACACTCATAGATGAGTATTTGACTTTATGAAAATCCCAGAAATTTTTTTTTATGAAAATCCCGGAAAATCCCAGAAAATTATTTTATTAAAAATTGATTGTATTAACTGAAAATATAAACTTTAAAATGGAATTTAGATTATTTAACTTTTTACAAAAATGAATTTCTAATATTCGAAAAGTTAATTTGAATAAATTAAAAAGAAAAAAATATATATATTATTGTAGTCAACAAATATAACTCAGATCTTTGTCTGAAAATGATATTGATGCAGAATTAGGAAAAAAACATATAAGCTACCTTTCCTACTCATGATTATGGCCAAACACATTTTTTTGTCCATTATATTCAACATAAAAAAAGCTAAGAAATTATACTTAATTAAAAAGATGACCTTTAGAATGACTATGTTCATTGGAATATGACAATTAGAAAGATGATATTCAATAAAATGTTAAGGCTAGATAATATCTAACCTTAGCAATGGGAATGAAACCATGTGAAACAGCCTCAGCAAAAAATTCTTCATCACAGATTTTATGACTTAGCAATGAAACAACTTTTTTTCAAATAAAATACATCAGTGCTTTTTTTCAAAAATAATAATAATAAATAAACCATAAAAAGATAATATTAAACATAGCAGAAGCAGTTAAATATGAAATCTCCTGCTTCATGTCCTTAAAACACTACACAGATAATAATGCAAATAATTAAACAATAAAACAATAAATTGATGGATAAAAACATTTAAATAAAATAATCATATAAGTATACTAAATAAATATCACCCACCAAAAATATTTGAGTTTTTATTTTTTAAAAAGTATTGATATGAAGAACCTACTATGAATAAAGTCTATATAATGTATGAACACATTTTTTAACTAAACTACTAATTTGTTGATGATCTTTTACTTTTAATTTTAAAAATTGGATCTTGTGACTTGAAGGTGGCTTTAAAAAAATTATTATTATTATTATTATTATTATTATTATTATTATTATTATTATTATTATTATTATTATTATTATTATTATTATTATTATTATTATTATTAAGATGATCTAAGACCTAATGATCTTGTCGCAGAGAGCAGAAAAGGGTTTAATGAGGAAGTTTCCATTGTTTTCCATGCCAACATTGCTTTTAAGGTTCTTAAAGAAAAAAATTTCTTTGAAAACCAACATCTTTTAATAAACAATTTTAAAAATTATTTATCTTTTTTCTCAAATTATAAATAATTTTGAAAATTACAAATAAAATATTCTCAATTTTTTTATTTAATTTTACGCAGTTTAACACATAACTTTTGTTTATTACAACTTAAGCTGTGACTCTGCAAAAAAAAAGTGGAAAAACCCACAAGTCATAAATAAGGATTTCAATAATGTACATTTTTTTTCCACAATGTGAATTACTCTGAATATCTTTTTAAGGGGTAAACAGATTCTATCTTTTAAAAGGTAAACAGATTCTATCTTTTGACCAGCCTCGCACCCCTTCATCTATTAGGCTGGCGCAGATGCATTTTTAATACATTGTTTCCAGTTTAGGATGTTGAACGCTGGATCTTTTTGACTCGATGCATGGGTTTTGCTTGTGTCTCTGTTTATATGACTAGGCAACTCATTCTATTATCTCCAAATGAGGAAACAGCTCTAAAGCTCAGTTTTATGGTTCTGAGGCTGGCTAATAGTCAGGTTTCCCGAACTCTATGGTAGCTCTCAGAGAGGCTGATTCCATCAACAGCTGAAAAATATCAGAGTACTAACAGTGTCATGTTGTGAATGGATGGTGTCTTTGTTTGTACTTTTGGTGTGCATTGCCAAGGCCACATTGGAGCCCTTTGTTACGGCTTAGGGTTTATTAGTGAAAATAAGGCAATTGCTTCGGCTATAAAACAGTGTACTAAGTACTATCTATCTTTCGAGTCAAGTTCTTTAACAAATTTAAAAATGAATAAAGTAACAAAAACTATAAAACACAAAAAACCACAGTCATCACCAAGTTCGCTAAACCTATCATTCAACAATATTTGTGGTCTTCGAAGTAACTTTTCTTCTGTTGAGTCTTGTCTCTTGCAAAGTTCACCAGACTTACTTGCTCTTTGTGAGACTAATTTGAGTTCTTCTGTCTCATCTTGTAATCTTAGTGTTGATGGTTATATTCCTTTAATTCGTAAAGACTCCAATAGTCACATGCTTTGCCTGGGCATTTACATTTGTAAGAATTCTCCCATTTGTCGGGAAACTAGGTTTGAATCCACAGACTACTCTTTTATGTGCTTTGTTTAGCACCACTTCACTCTATCAACTTTCTTTTTGTTCTATATCGCTCTCCTTCATCTCAAGACTGCATTCTTCTTGATGTTATTTCTGATTATATTGACCAAGCCCTCATTCTTTATCCATCAGCCAATATTGTTGTTGTCAGTGACTTTAATGTTCATCACACTGAATGGCTTGGCTCTAGTGTCAGTAACTCTGCAGGCATTAAGGCCCACAACTTTTGCCTTTCTCAATCCCTAACTCAAATAGTCAACTTTCCAATTCGCTTTCCAGACAACCCGAATCATTTATCTTCTCTACTCGACTTATGTCTTGTTTCTGATCCTAGTCAATGCTCAGTTTCTCCACACTCACCCTTAGGTGCTTCTAATCATGGTTTTGTCTCTCTAAAACTATTATCTCATTCTTCTTTACCATCAGAATCCCCCTATCATCGTACATCTTACAACTACCTTAAAGCTGACTGGGACTCTTTCCGTGATTTTCTTTGTAATGGCCCCTGGGTAGAAATCTTTTGTCTTCCTGTTGACAAATGTGCTTCTCACATAACTTCGTGGATTCAGGCTGGCATGGAATCCTTTTTTCCCTCTCAACGATTCCAGGTCAAGCCTCACTCTTCTTCATGGTTTTCCTCACATTGTGCTGCTGCAATTGCCAATTGAAACCATTACTTTCATATCTATCAGCAAAACAATTCTCCAGAAAATAGACGCCTGTTTATTACTGCTAGGAACCATTGTAAAAAGGTTTTGTCTAACGCCAAAGCCAACTATTCTCAGACCATGAAATCTCGTATTTCATTACAAAAATTAGGCTCTCGTGACTTCTGGAGAATCTTCAATAGTATCAATAATAAGGGCAAGTCTGTAATTCCACCTCTTTTGTATGGTTCAGACTTTGTCACCTCACCTAAAGACAAAACTGAATTGTTTGCCAAGAACTTTTCATCAAAATCATCTCTTGATTCAACTAGTTGCGTTCTACCTGATATAGCCGTCAAACAGGTTGATCCATTGCTCAACATCCAAATCACTCCAGCTTCTGTATCTAAAGTGATTTTCTGCTTAGACTCTTCTACAGCTTGCGGCTCGGACAACATACCAGTTATAGTCTTGCAGAAGTGTTCTCCGGAGCTGTCGTCTATCCTTTCAAAACTATTTAACAAGTGCTTTTCAGAGTCTTGTTTTCCAGCCTGCTGGAAAGCAGCATCTGTTATCCCTAATTTTAAAAATTCTGGAGAGCGATATGATTCGTCTAACTACCGTCCCATTAGCCTTTTTCCTATCATAAGCAAGGTTTTTGAATCTTTAATTAACAAACACTTAATCTCTCATCTTGAATCTCATAACCTACTTTCTGATCATCAAGATGGATTTCGATCTTCTCGTTCTACAGCTGATTTGCTATCAGTAATAATTATTACTGATAGGTTTTATCACGCATTAGATAAAGGTGGAGAGGTTAAGGCCATTGCTCTTGACATTTCTAAAGCGTTTGATAAAGTTTGGCATGCTGGTCTTCTCCATAAGCTTTCTTCTTACGGTGTATCTGGAAACATCTTTAAGATTATTGAATCCTTCTTTTCCAATCGTAGTATAAAAGTTGTCCTTGATGGACAGCACTCTTCTTCTTATTGTGTAACCTCAAGGGTTCCTCAAGGTTCAATCCTTGGCCCTATACTCTTTTTAATTTACATTAACGATCTTCCAGATATTCTCACATCTAAGGTGGCATTGTTTGCTGATGATACTACCATTTATTCTTGTCACGATAAGAAGCCATCTCCTTCTGATTGCTCGCAGGGGCATCTGAGCTTGAAAAGGATCTCACTTCTGCTACAGCATGGGGCTCACAGTGGCTGGTGAACTTTAATTCAGATAAAACTCAATTTTTTTCAGCCAATCGTCATCGCAATAATTTAGACCTTCCTATTTTTATGAACGGTAATATTTTCGATGAGTCATCTACCCTACATCTTCTAGGATTAACTCTTACTTCTGATCTCTCTTGGAAACCTTATATCAAATTCGTTGCAAAAATAGCATCTGCTAAAGTTGCATCTCTTTATTGAGCTCAACACTTTCTTACTCTGGATTCCATTCTCTATCTCTATAAATCTCTTGTATGGCATACTGTTGCCATAGCTGGGGCGGATCTTCTAATGATGTCCTTTCTTTTTTAGACAAGATGCAAAAACGCATTGTAAACATAGTTGGACCTGCTCTTGCAGCCAACCTTTAACCTCTGTCACATCGTCGTAATGTTGCTTCTCTTTCTCTTTTCTACAAATACTATAATGGGCACTGCTCTAAAGAGCTAGCGTCTGTTGTGCCATCTACTAAAATTCATTCTCGTGTTACTCATCATTTAATTAAGTCTCGTCCTTTTTCTGTTACTGTTCCTAAGTGCTCCAAAAACTCTTACTTGTCTAGTTTTTTTCCTCAAACATCAGTTCTTTGGAATTCGCTTCCTTCATCTTGCTTTCCTGATTCATATAATTTGCAATCTTTTAAGTCGTCTGTCGATTGTTATCTTGCTCTACAATCTTCATCTTTTCTCTTCCAGTAACTTCTAACACTAATTAGTGGTTGCTTGCAGCCATGTTGGAAGCGAAGATGTAAAAAAAAAAAAAAGAAAAAAAAATCTAAGCTGATTACAGTATGAAAATTTGATTTACACAAGAGAGTTTTGTCAAAATTCACAACCCCTTCTTTTAAAGATATGACAATAAAAACTCAATAATGGAAAAAGATATTTTTAAAAATTCTTAAGAAAAAAGTAGATACCTTTTTAATCTTTTAACTTGTGGACAACTCGTTTCTGTAAAATAAAAAACACCTTACTAACAAATATAATAATATTATTAGTAAAATATTAACAATAATAACCAGAATTATCTTTATATAAAAATGTAGGTGTAAACATCTGAAGATAATATAAATTTACGGGCCATATATAAATATAAATCTTTTGTCAAAAAAAAAAAAAACACAAGTAAAAAAATTATATTTTTAAACCTAACTATTTTGTAGCACTTTTTTATTATTATCATTTTGCGATAAAATTATATGTAAAATTTATCAAGAAAATAAAGAACCACAAGTAAAAAAGTTATCAACTTCGTATTACATTGAAACTATCTAATTTTCCTGAAAAATATTTTCAACAAAAATTAAAAAAAAGAAAATTATAAATAAACAAAATTAAAAAACAATTTTTTAAAAAGTTTATATTTTTATATAGATGATATTTAATATACAAATACAAATACAAAGAATAGTACAAATGTAAAGAAATAATTTTAAAAACAAAAGTGTTTGTACCTCAGTGTAATTGTTTGTGCTTAAATATCTGCTGAAAATTCTTGTAAAATTAAATTTTTAGTTGATGTTTACTAGTTTAAAAAAAAAACGTGTACTACTACCTGAAAAAATAATGAATAGCTATTTGTGCAACAGGTACTGAGGCTAGTTTTCTATATATATATTAGGGTGGGTCAAAAAAAAAAATTTTCTTGTTACAGGCTCTAAACATTGCTAATAGTTATTAATATTGATACTATCAAATATGTGAATGATTGTGATAGATTTAAAGGGCCCAACATTATTGGGAAAATTACCGGTACCCTAATATTTTGGAGAAAAAAAGTTTGTCAAAAGTAGGTCAACCTGGTACTCAAAAGAAGCGAAATTTTATAAAAAAATTCGAAAATAATAATCATTTTATAAAAATCATATTGCTGAAAAAAAATTGTTATTAAAAAACATGTAAAAATGCACCTTTTTCCCTTTTAGTTAAAAAACTATAGTTATTATGCAATGAAATCTAAAATAATAGTTTTTATATGAAAAAATTATTATTTTTGAAATTTTTAAAAAACTTCGCTTTATTTGAGTACCTACATCACATAATTTTGAAAAACTTTTTTTTTGAATAATAATAGGGCCTGCTAATTTTTGTAATTATAGTTGCGGGTGGAAGACATTATTCAATCTATAAAAGTAAATACTTTCCTAAATTATTTTTTTAGACCTCATTTTGACTGACAATAGCAACAGAGTTTATTTTCTTGAACATTTTCCACCGTTAGGTGGTATCGATCATGGTCATCATATTTTGAAATTTCGATTTGGTTATGAAAATAAACCTAATTTATTAATATCACTACAAACGAGGAAGAAAAAATTTTTGTGGAAAAATGGAAACTATAAAGCGTTAGATTTGTATTTTAATAACATAAACTGGATAAATGAATTTGAAGGGCTAAGTGTAAATGAATGTTACAAAAAATGGCTAAGAAAATATGAAATAGGATGTGAAAAATATATCCCAACGCTAAATTTAGATAAAAACTCTTTTCAACTAAAAAATAACTCACTATGGATGACAACTGAACTTAAAAGCATGTGTAAAGAAAAGAAAAAATGTTGGTTTAGAAACAGAAATTCAGGTTTTAAAAGTCTTTTAGAAGTCAATAAGTATAAAAAATTAAATAAAGATATAAAAAAACTTGTCAAGAAAAGTATTCGCAATTTTGAAAAAAACTTGGCACTTAATTCAAAAAGCAATCCTAAAAGTGTCTATGCTTATATAAACAACAAAACAAGATTTAAAGACTCGATCAGAGCCATAAAGCTACATAATGGTATTATAACTACTGATAATCAAGAGATAGTAAACACTCTTAATGAATTCTTTGCTTCTGTGTTTATACAAGATGACTCACCAGAAGAAGTTTTAGATGACAATCTTTTAACAAAATGTTCTGATCCAGATTTTAGTATTTCTTTTATTCGGAAACATTTGAGTAATTTAAACATGTACAAATCAGTAGGTCCAGATAATGTTCACCCAAAAGTTTTAAAGGAATGTTCAGAATCTTTGTCAAGTTCTTTAGCAATAATATTTGTTAAATCGTTTATTACAGGATCTATTCCAAAGTTATGGTCATGTGCAAACGTTGTTCCGTTATTTAAAAAAGGAAATAAACTAGATCCAACAAATTATAGACCGGTTTCATTAACATCAATTGTTGGTAAAGTTATGGAGAGAATTATTAAAGATCATATGATGGTGTTCCTCATTGAAAACAATTTAATTTCTAAAGAGCAACATGGTTTTGTTAATAACAAAAGTTGTATAACAAACCTGTTAGAAACATTAGATTTAATCACGCAAGCGTATGAAGAGGATATTTCTGTTGATGTTTTATTTTTGGATTTTAAAAAAGCATTTGATTCAGTCTCTCACACGAAATTACTGAAAAAATTATTCAGACTAGGATTTGTATCATCTTTGTTAAATTGGTGTAAATCATTTTTGTCAGGCTGAACACAGAGAGTTGTAATAGGGGAATATATTTCAAGTTGGAAGATGGTTACTAGTGGAGTACCACAAGGTTCAGTACTCGGACCTCTTTTGTTTGTAATCTTCATTAATGACTTATGTAGAGGGATTATTAAAGACACTAAATTATATGCAGACGATACCAAAGTTATTTCAATCAATCATTGTTATGATGATAATAAAATATTACAAGAGGATATTAACAGGTTAGTTAAATGGTCTGAAGATTGGTTAATTACATTTAATGAATCAAAATGTAAAGTCATGTATATTGGCAAAAAGAATCCAAGATATGAATATAAATTGAACAACTCTGTTTTAACAGAAACAATGATAGAAAATGATCTTGGGATTTTCATTTCAAATAATCTAGAGTGGAAATATCATGTTAATTCAGCTATAGGTAAAGCAAACAGAAAATTAGGCATGATCAAAAACTCTTTTGAGTATTTGGATGAACTTTCATTAAAGTTACTATACAAATCGTTAGTACGTCCCCATTTGGAATATGGAGCAACAGTTTGGAGTCCATTTTGGAAAAAGGACATTGACAATCTTGAAATCGTGCAACACAGGGCTACGAGAATTGAATCTTTAAGGGGGAAGTCGTATGAAGAAAGATTAAAGATACTTGAATTGCCAACTTTGTTTGATAGAAGAAGAAGAGGTGATCTGATTCAAATGTATAAGATCTCAAAAGGAAAAGATATTGTTAATTTTCACCATCCTCCTTTAAATTTTGAGCTGGAGCGATCTAGTAGAAGTAACAATTGTAGAATACGCAGACAATTTACAAAATCAAGAATTCGTCACCATTTCTTTACAAACAGAGTTATAAATGATTGGAATTCTCTTCCACAATGGATATTAGATAAAGATAATTTGAACATTTTTAAAAACAGTATCGATAATTATTTCGGTTTCTGAACACTAATTTTTGTAATCGGCTGTCATAGTCTTAATTCTACGTAATTAAGACTCTACACACCTCAAGTGTGTACAGCACCTTTTCTATTCTATTCTATTCTAAATTAGTACATAAAAAAACAATTTTCTAGCAATGTTTAGAGCCTGTAACAAGAAAAAAAAATTTTATGACCCACCCTAATATATATATATATATATATATATATATATATATATATATATATATATATATATATATATATATATATATATATATATATATATATATATATATATATATATATATATATATATATATATATATACATATATATACAGAGGATACAGATTCTAGGGAAAAAAATTGGTCGGCGGTACTCCCAGTCCCGGAGAAAATATTGCAGAATAAGGCTGACAGCCATATGCCAAATACTCCCAAATAATATGAAGTTAAAAACATATAGTTATGAAGCTTTATAAAGTAGAAGTTTTACGCACAAACTGACGATTTCTCCTATACGCTCAGCAATTTACACTTAACAAAATCTTAAATTATTTGGAATATTTTTATTATTTTTTGATATTATTTATGCAGCCTTTATTTACATTAGATTATTATTTGTAAAAAAGATTTTATTTGGGTGCATTAGTTTGAGTGTCCATACCAGTCAAACGATATGGAATTACGTCTGGGTAGGGTTGGGTATTTTTTAAATTAAAGTTGGCGCTAAAAAATTTGTCCAATTATAATAATTGTAATTGGATAATATGTCTAATACAGACAATAGGTCTACAAAGCACAAGCAGGCATTTATAAACAAAAAATATGGTTTTATAGTTTGATGAGAAAACAGCTTATGCATTAATTGAACTCTTGAAAAGCTCTTGATGGTTTGGGATAGGGCAGTGATAATATTTTTAACTATTTCTTTTATTTGAACAAAAAAACAAACAAGAATATTTTAAATAAAAAGCAATACCTTGGTTTTGAACTTGTTCAGTTACTGATCGCAGTTGATATCTAATATATTAAAAATACAATGTTTTTAAGCAATGTTACCTCTATTATTATTTACCTCTAAATAATTGTACCTCTTTATTTATTATTTAATTTTAAATTTGAAAATATTACTTAATTTTAAAGACTTATAACTTTCAATTTGAAGTTTTGTAGATAGATATACTATTTGCAAATGCTCATCCCTTAGCTTAAATTTTTGTGCATGCAGGTAATATTATTATAAATAATGTAGTTTCTTTTTTTTTTTTTTTGCTACTTGCAAACTGTTGATATTAGTAGTTGAACCAAAGGGAGAGTGAAAATCAGATAGGGATTATCTGTTGTTTTCAATAGCTTAAGGTTAATTAGTTAATCGGCTTAAATTTTTTGAAAAAATGTGTTTTTCACACTTTGAAGGTATTACCTGCAGAAGACATGGTTCATAATATACAGAATGTTTCAAAAACTTATAAATAATATGGCTAAAATCTTTACAATCCAAAGCTACACACTGCAAGCAACTATTCTTTATTGTTTACCATGATCAGTATGAGAAATATATCACAAACACCATTTTTTTTTCCGATTATATAAAACTACCAAAATGAAGGTAATTTTTTAAATAGAATAGTTAGGTCTTTTTGAAACACCTTAAAAACTAAAAAATAGGGGTGCACTGATGCCTATTTTTGGCCAATTCCGATGCTGATTGGTACAGGCAGATGCATGGGCATCTGCCCTTAATTCAAATTTATACTCTTTTCTATTTTACTTTAGAAATTTTTTCAAATATGTTAACAGCCAATTATAATGTTAGCTTATTTGCTAAAGTTTGCTTAAATTTAATGCTTCCTTATTTGCTAAAACTTGCTTAATGCTTAGTTGCTTTGCTTATTGTTGATTTATTTTTTATTTAATTTTATTTCAAAGTTTAATTTCTAGAAGTTAGAAGTTTATACATTTGTATATTTATATATTTTAGCATCCATAGCACAATGGTTAGCGCGCTTGCCTCTGTGATTCAATGCCTATTTTTACAAATATATATATATATATATATATATATATATATATATATATATATATATATATATATATATATATATTATTATTATTATTATTATTTTTATTCTACAATAAAATTTGAAACTTCTATAAGCTGGGATTCTATCGAGACCCAGCTATAGCAGACCAACGAAAAATTGAATTAATCCATTTGTCATAATTATTTTTTAATTGGTCAACTGTCTTTGAAGCAACAACAAAATCTGGTAGATTATTCCAATAAGGTACTACACGATTGCATAAAAAATCTGTGTGTAAACCTTTTTTAAATGTGATGATTGCCTGTTTCCAAACATAAGGAACCAGGCCTGACTCGAATGAATTTATAAATAAAAGTGAAAGCAGTAAACTAAAATTTCTGCTACAGTTTTTTAATACAAACGGATGGATATCATCAATACCAGTACCTTTGGTATTATCTAATATATATATATATATATATATATATATATATATATATATATATATATATATATATATATATATATATATATATATATATATATATATATATATATATATATATATATATATATATGTAAAGATATATATATATATAAATTATCGGTTCTGCTTACTCAGCGTATAAGCAGTACTTTGGCATAAAGGGAACTCATCTTGATTACACTCTAAAAAAAAAAGATAGAAATTTCTACCTTGGATATGTGGGTAGGATATGTGATATACCCTCATTAAAATATAATTTTCTACCTTAAAATGATACTTTTAAGGTAGAAAATTTTATAAAAAACTATTATTTTTAACACAATTTTATACCTCAGAAGGTAAAAAATTATACCTTACTAAGGGTATATCACATATACTACTCTAAAGGTAGGATATGTGATATATAATTTATACCTTTTTTTTTAGAGTTTAGCTCTGCTATTACAATGTTTCCTTTTCTACTAGTAAATAAATAATCTAGTTGAGTAAATAAAAGTTATTGCTTATTATTTATCTAACTATATTCTAGGATTTAAACTTAGAAATAAAATTAAATAAGAAATAAATCAACAATGAGCAAAGCAACTAAAGGCCTAATAAATGTTTAAAGCAATTTGTAAATTTTGTAAAATATAAAGAGGAGGAACGTCTGAAACAAATATTTTTACATTTTACACAACATTTATTTTCTTGATTTAGAACTTATCTCTTTGCATAACTTGGACCCATAAGTCATATAATTGCTTTCCTAAATGATAAACAAACACTAAATGCAAGAAGATCCTGATAAAAACAGTTCAAAACTATTTAAAGATTTTGAGTTTGCAGATATGTTAATATATTATACATGCATGTTTGTTTATGAAGTAATTATAATTTTGCATATAAAATAGAAACACAAAATTAAAAAAACTTATTTTTTAAAACAATTGGCATCAGCTGATTGTTACCAAGACTGATGCTGATGTCTATGCCTCAGTGCACCCCTACTAAAAATTGAGTCCCAAAATTCTTATGGACTCCCAAGACTACAGACTCCGTTTTTTTAGATTATATTAGATTAGATTTTTTTAAATTATATTAGAACTTCATACTTTATAATAGTTATAAAATATGAAGTTCTAAGATAATCTAAACAAGTATGAGTAGTATTAAACTAGCATTTTAAGCGAGTACAAAGTTAAGATAATAGTTAATTAGCAGTATAACAATTGTTTTACACTAATAGATTCGATTATAATTTGTCTACAATAAGATATCATTTTGATTTTATTGTTTACTTTATATTAGTAATTTATCTAAAATATTCCCCAAAATATAACAATCATTTTTAGAACATATATATTTTCCGAAAAGTCAGATATTTTAAGTGTCATTTTAGATCGTTTAACTTATAACATTCACCAATAAAAATGAATGTATATCCAGAACTACTAAAATTAAAACGCAATAAAGATAATAAACTATACCCCAAAGGTTTTGAATATTCTTCAGCAAAGGCATGCATTAAATATGATGATATGCATTTGCATTTATGAAAGGGGCTTTCACGTGAAATGAATAACGCCATTTTAACCAATGTTTATCATACGGTCGTTAGCATTTTATAGATGCTCTCTAGTCAAAATCATGTCCCGATGTTAAGTATCCTTGACGTCCGCTAATTGGGAATGTACCAAGGAGGTTTAATAAACCTCCTTGGAATGTACATACTTGGAAAGGACCAGCAGAGATATTAAAAAATTATAGCGCCTTCCCTCATCCTTAACAATGGTTGATTCAGAGATTTTTTCCAAAGGGTAGGCGGGTACTCAAAATTCAAAAGTTAAAACATCACTATTTCATTTGATCGGTTAGACCAAAAACAATAAAAATATTCTTTTAATATGGTTTAAAGAGTTTTACTATTTATGAAAGGGGTTCTTAGTAGAAGGGACCTATCCTAACTATCCGGTTCGTTTTTGACCTTTTTTTATTAAAATAAAATAAAAGAAACAACGCAAAAACAATTCTAGTATTAGATGCTTGATTAAGATTTTACATGATTATAAGTACTACAAATTTTTCTGTTTTAAAATGTATTAAACACTTTAGAAATAAAAGTTGTACATAGAGAAATAGAAGTGGGGCTAGTTAAGCAAACTTTGATTAAAAAAAAAAAGTTAAAAACATCTTTTAATCGGTAGGGTAAATTTTAGTTTTTAGCACTTTTGTTTCTTATTTTCAAATCTGCTAAACTTACCCCAAGCTACTATCGTATAAAAACAATTCAGTTTTTAAAAAGGATTTGTGCTTTTTTTAACTTCTTATAATATGTGTGAAATGTTGATTTGGTAATAGTAATCAATTAGCATATTAATATCTCTTTCCGATTACTTCAAAGTTTATACTCTCTTTTTGGCGTTGCGTTTATTATTTTTATTTTAAAATAATTTTAAGTATTCAAAACAAGTGTTTTTGGGATCGGAAACTAAATTTAAAGTTTTACGAGTAAACAAAAATTAATGACTTGTTTAGATAACACCCTCATTAAATTTTTAAAAGCAATCTTTCTTACAAATTATTTTGATTTCCTAAATGACAAATGATTAAGCAATTAAACTCTGTCGTGCACAAAAAAACAGTAAATTATAAAAAATTGTAAAAAGAACAATTTTAAGATAAATTGAATTGACTTTTGAAATAAAATACTTATGCAATCGGCTGAGTACGAAGACGTGCAATCTTTTAGACCACTTTTTGAAAGTTTAAAAGCCATGGACGGGTCTTTTAAAACAAATATTGATGACGATCTAAAAGTATTTTCTGAATTAGTCTCACCAATTAGATCACCGCATTCAACTTTAGACAATGTTCAGATTGTGTTACAAAATAACCAACTATGGAGCAAGTTTTATCATTTTGGGAACGAAATGATATTAACTAAAGTCGGACGGTAACTTTTTTTTGAATATTTTATTTCTCAGTCTTATTAAATCATAAGTAATGATTATTTCAAATTTATAACAAAAAATAGTTGTTTCAGTAAATACTTTACATATTTGTTACATATTTATTAATTATTAAACATTTATAACTTGTAAGTGCATATTTATTAATCATTATTTGAGCGTGTTTTCTGTATCAAGGATATTTAGTGTTCGAGATAAATTTTGTTACTCTTCTTTTTTTTTTTACACGGGAGGGAACGTTTATTAATTCTTGGAAACTTTTCATGTTCACCCTAAGCTTGTGAACCCCCTCCCCCAGCCCTCCCAACCCTTTAATCAATTTTTACTTGTTATCAACAAAACTATAAAAAAAAAAAAACAGAAACTTATATATCAGCTGATATATAAGTTTCTGATTTTTTTTTTTTTAGTGATTGCAGTCACTGATAAAAATAAAAACGTAAATCTCGATTTCAAAGATAAAATAATTGGTCAAAATTTAGGTATTCATTTATTTCTCACCATACTATAATAATTTTATAAGCATATTAAGTCTTATTAAAATTATAATGAAACAGCTGTTAAAAAATGCGCATTTGACCACAAGCCACACTAGAATTAAATTGTTTTATTCGTGTTCTGTAAAATATTTTCACCCACCCATTTATTAAGATCCCTTTTATATTTTTCACTGTGGGTTTTGATACAATTTCGATTGTTTATTCTTTTTCCTGATAATATCACATAGTAAATAAGTAGATCTATAGCAAAAGACACATGTGGTAGTAAAACATATTTTGTGATCATTTGATAGAAACAGTCGTTTGTTTCAGCAAACATCAACCCACTTGTACTGCTATCGAATCCAAAGTTTATAAACTGTGTTGTTTCATTATCTATTACACCGTACCACTCTTCTTATGAAGATTTCCCGCTGTTCTTCATTATGCCTGCAATTTTAAGTTCTTCGGCTAGTTCATTTAAACCATGGAAGTATAAAACAGATGTTCATGGAAGTTCAATCGCATTGAAATTTTTCGAGACCACGCTTGTAACCTTTTGTTTCGTAAACATTAAGAAAATGACATCAAGATTATACTTAAACCCTTAATCTTTATACGTTGACGCAAATAGGTACGTTTATAATAATCTAAAAATATAGTATTTTGAAGGTTAGCCAATAATATTCATATAAAACATTAAAAAAAAAGCGCAACGAAACGGCAAACAACAACTTTTTTATAAATTTCATGTTAAATGAATGGAGTACTACAAGAATGAATAGAATTATGATATACAGCTAATGAAACTTTAAACTTTAGTTATTTAGAAAACAATTTTTTTGATTTTTTAAAAATTGTTTTAGTTGTCTTTTTAATCAAATGTTGTGTTAGAAAAGAAGCTTAAACTAAGATATGCTTTTAAAATCAAGTGGTTCTATTTAATTACCGAGTTTTAATAAACCTTTTGCTGAATAATTGCAATTACTAATGGTTAAAACTTTGCAGCATATCCCTAGAATAATTCATTTTTTGATGTTTTAATAAAAATCATTTCAGTTAATTTTTTTTTGTTTGTTGTTTTTGTCGGTTTTACAAGCATACTCCCGAGACAACTTGAAATTGCTTTGATGTTTGCGGCTCGATGAATTTCTATCTTTATACTTCCATGTTTAAACATAGTCATAAGAAATACATAGTCTGGAAGCATAGAGGGTCGTTTCTATTGTTTTGCCTTTTTAACTTAAATTTTGAATTTCGGTCCGTTATAATATCTAACTAAACTTTTATAAATTTTAATAACAACGACAATAAAAACCAGGTAATAAAAAAAAAATTTTCTAAACGATTGATTTCTAAATA